TCCTGCCATGGCAGGGGGTCGGACTACATGATCTACTCGGGTCTCTTCCGACCCTAGAAACTATGAAACTATAAGGCCTGTCAGTAGAAAATTCCGCACTTTGCACTCATTTTCCATTGGGTTTGTCTGGACTTTCATTCCAGTGATATAAACTTTCCACATGTCTAATGTCTCTCAGAAAGCACTTGCAGAATTCATGCTTTTTCCCCCAATACCGCCTGTGCAGATTTTAATGGGGTATAGTATGAAACGTAATCACCAAAAAGACATGGTGGCACCCAGCAAGCAAAGAGGATTCACTGTGGCAACAGGGTCTTAGTTTCCTCACTGGAGCTTTGCCTATGAACAAAGTATATGATTCCCATCTTAATGGGTACTCAGAAATTCCAAAGACTTTGTTCATAGGCAAAAGAAATGTGATTGTACCTTTCTGTCATTGTCATTTGACAAAGACAGCTATTGTTTCTCAGGTCAAATTGTAGAGGATAAAGTTTTGTTAGTTTGCTAGAAATTCAGAAGGTCCAGTTTTTCTGAATGAAATGCACTGTTTGTTTCTGTTTCAGAAAATAGAAATTATAGATGATGAAGAAAGTGATATGATAAGTAATTCTGAAGTGGATCAAATGAGTTCTCTCTTGGATTATAAGGTAAGTATCTTAAACCTTGTAGAGGAAGGACACTATTACCTTCTCAGAGGAAGCTCAAACAGATTTTTTTTGCGGGGGACTAAGCATGCAGTATGGGAAGGCTAGAATAGTCTGCATTTCCCAAGAAAGACATGGCCATGAAACTGCAGCACACCACCTGTGCAGCCACTCTTCCAGGCTTTAGAGCGCAGTTAGTAACTCCTTTGCCAGTGTTTTGGTCCCTAGCTTCTGTGAACCATTCCTTTAATAAGATGCAAAGAAGACATAAAGAATGAAGAACGTCTTTCTGTAGACCCGCTGAGTTATTATGATGTAAGCAGCCAAGTTTATTTAACACTTAAAATATTTTTCTCATTCTTTTGAGTGAAATGTTCATTATCACCAGATTCAGGTATTCTTTGAACCAGGAAGGTATACTTTTGAGGTTTTATTTTTTAAATATATTGCCAGCCTGGGAAAGAAGGTAACAGCTGGAGTGTTCTAATAAAGCAAGGAGAACTGAGAAGGAAACAGTTCTAATAATTTAGTACTCAATCTTACTGTGTTGCTGCCTACAGAGTTGGTTTTGAAACGATAACGTGAAAAAAAAATGTTGGATACCAGATAGTCTCTGTCTTCTGCCAAAACTTAAAGGTTATATGTTTGTTATTGCTCATGCAAGAGTTACCACAGTTTCAGTCTCTACTCTTGAGGGTATTTTCTGTGCGAAATGGGCAAGTGTGTGGCTTGGTTTTACAATAAGCATATTCCACTAGAATAGAACCTACTGCCAAATGAATACATTATTTAAAAAGGTAAAATAGAATATATCCTTTTTAGGGTACAAAAATGATTCCCTTGAGCACAGTTTTCAGGGTGGGGACAAAGCAGAGTAAATATGGATAAAGAATGACCTTTTCTTAATGTCACTTGTCACTGAAGTGAATGGTTTGTTGTGACAGCATGCCCTACAGAGTCCTGTTTGGTTTTATTACATTTTGACATAAACTGTTAGTCTTCATGGCAGTGAGTTTTCTGCATAAAAATGCATGCTATCTTTTACCTAAGTAAATAGGTGACTTGTAAGCTTTCATCAGTAATGACTACAGTATACTGATTCTTCATATCAAAATATTTTCTTTAAGCTAATATATTAAATGCATTGTTAGGACCATATCTTCAGGGCACCTCTAAAAGTCAACTCACAATATTTGTCTATTTCATTAGGAATGTGCAATTTGTAATTGCATGTTTAAACTCTACATCTTATTCATGGAAATGTGGGTTTTCTGTTCAAAAATAGATACACCCATGTATATTTTAAGAGCGTGTTTACAGCCCTGCTGAAAATTCCTCTGTGACTGTTAAGCATAGGCAGAAAAATGATCATTGAATACTTTTAACTGAAATATGAATTTAATTGATGTAAAATGACAGCCAATCTAACAAATCTGCATGAAATTTTCATGTCCAGAATATAATCAGGACTTTAAAAAAAGGAGGCTGACAGGTTTTTAAGTTAGTTCATTAAAACAGATGAAAGTCTACTTTGCCAAACCCTTTAGCCAGGCTTTTAATCAATCACTTGCTTCTACCAGGAGCTAAAAAATGGCTGTAGCAGTAATATATTTGTGAATAAACATAGAAACCTGAATTTTGAGGATTTTGATTTTTTTGAGCTTTTATATTTAATATGTAAAAGTCAAATAAAAAAGTGTTGAAATTTATTTAAATTTCCACTGTCAGGAATTTCTCCTTTGTAAATTATGTGAATCTGGAGAACAAAACTGCTTCTGATGTTCATCTCAGACCCTTCATTTCTTAAACTTGTATCTGTAAACCTGAACATGTAGGCACTCACAGAAGACAAC